ATACCTTAATTTGTTGCTCGGTGTTTCTCGAAATTCTAAATTTCCCCCTTCCCTAAATTCTGCCACCCAGTGCGGCGCACCAGCTTTGTCACCCGTTCTGGGTTTATCTGAATAACAAATGAGTTATTTTCTATTTAAACAGCGCTAAATGTTATCTTTTGACCTATGAGTATGATTTACAAAATTCTATTTTTTTTTGCATATGGAAATTTCTTATCAACATTCTCAGTACTTCACCGCGAAGTTAGCTGAATTCTGCAGTAATCGCCAAGCGTAATGTCAGCATAAAAGATTACCATGTTCTTTGATATTCAGTTGCTAATATTAAAAAAAAAAAAAAAAACAGCGTGTCGATATTCATGCGGTGATGAAAGCAAAAAATAATAAATAATGATTCGCCAAGTTGCGTCAGTGTCGGAGTAAAATTAAGAATCGGGACTTCACACTTTATTTCACACACTGGCCAATGAATTAGAAACCGTTTAGAAATTCATTTGAATGCAGGCTAGGGAGGAAGTATAGAATTTTTTTTTAAGACGTGGGTTACACGTGGTTAGAATGCTAGTATAAGTAAGGTGTAAGAGTGCTTTTCACGATGAATGAAGTAAAATAGGAAAAACGACAGATCGTTCATCATTTGTAAAAGAGCTTATTGTTGGTGCCTGTTTAGCAGGAACTTCGATTTCGAAGACAGCAAAACTCATTGGATTCTCAAAAGCAGCCATACCAAAGGTTTTCAAAAGTTGGAATCAGAACCCAGAGTCCTTCTCTAGAAGACGTAACTGCGGTTCGAACACTGTTCTTCAAGAGAGTGATTGGCGTCGTCTCCGATGAATTATACTGCAGAACATGGACTCTACTGTGCTTCAAATGGCACAGATCGTCAACCAAGGCTCTTCCCAACAGATTTCAGCTCGAACCATGCGCATAGAATTGCAGAGAATAGGAATGCAGAGTCGGGGGCTTGTGAGAAAAACCACTCATTTCTGCTCGATATGCAAGAATTCGTTTGCAGTGGTGTCAGAAAAGAACACTGGACATCAGAGAATTGAAAACGGGTAGATGTGGTCGGGTGAATCACGCTACACCTTATTTTGCGCTGATGGAAGATGTCGAATTTGGCGAGAACCCCATGAAACCATGAATCCATCTTGCCTTGCTCTCACTGTGCAAGGTTCTGGTGGGAATATTATGATATGGAGCATGTTTTTCTGGCATGGAAGTTGTGCTCTGCTGTTTCTCGAGGGTAAAGCGGCCGTGAGTTACCTAGATATGCTGGCAGATCAAGTGCACCCAGCAATGTTGCATTTTGACCGTGATGGCGACAGATACTGCATGGACGATAATACAACTATACATCGTGCCAGAAGTGTTCAAAATTGTTTCGCTGAGTATCATTCTGACTTCCAACACCTTCCCTGGCCACCGCATAGCCTGGATCATAACCCCATAGATAATGTGTGAGATATGGTGGAAAGACGCATTCGACAGCACTCTCCTTTTCCATCTAATTTACAAGATCTAAAAAGCTGCGCCTCGCTCCACAGTGTCCAAACGGCCCGACTGCGTATGCTCATGCACAGGAGCCAAAGCGATGATCCCACCAACGCGATTGTATATCCCATCAATACACAAGACTCGCATTCACGTCCAGGATACGGACTTAATCGTGACGACAAGTCTTACCTCCTGATTTCGTTTTAACAATGCTTGGGAAAGGATGGGTAGCGATCCCGAGAACTAATCAAACGCTCGAAGCTGCATAACCAATGCATGGTATTCCCTGGGCGTAAATGCACTCCAGAATCATGTGAGTCGATCCTAAACGAATCAGAGCAATTATCCGTGCAAAAGGTGGTCCAGTAAAATATTGATCTTTGGTTTCTAATTCATTGGCCAGTTAAAAGTTTATAATCAATTGTTGTTGTTGTTGTTGTTGTTGTATTTAATTATGGCAAAGCACACTAGGGCTATCTGCCTATGGGGAGGGGATGCCTTCGTGGAGGACTATCTAAGGGAAACTGGCTCGTACACACATTACACATGGGGAAAACCACGAAAACACCCATGCAGCCAGCCCGTTCGTGGGATTCGAACCTCGGACCGAACTACCAGTTTTCAGCGACGTTACCGCTCGGCCGCTGGCCTTTATAATCAATTGATATTTTCAGAACAAAAAGGGAAAATACCCAAATTAAAGAATTAACGGGCTATTGTTAATTTAAGTTATAATTTTGATTCAACTATTTTTTATCTTACATATATATATATGTTTATCTTACATATATATATATATATATGTAAGATAAAAAATATGAAAGCAAACTTCTAATTTTAATTTACTATAACCTCTTTTATTTTTTATTTAATTTGGGGACTTCCTCTCTCTGTCTTAGAAATAGCGCCATAAGTCTAGACTGCGTCATTCAAATTTATCATGCGAGCTTACATAACACTTTTCATACAGTCAAATGCAAATACTTTCAATGCAATGCCCAATCAAAGTACAGGATGATTAATTATTAAAGTTACGGTTTCAAAACGCTCTAACATTAAAACTACTTGTCAGAATGACTTGATATTTTGCTAGAACAATCGTGTGGCAATGGAATTTTGTTTGGAGAAGGAAAAAAATAGTTTCAAAATATACCGATAGATGGCGCAGTCAGGGAAACATTGCTGTTGGTATGCAAATTACTAAAACATAACATGCGCACTGCAGACATAGCTAAGATAAAAATGCAAAGCACTAACGATACACATAGCATACGCAACTAAAGCATCAAAGCATACAGATAACATTTTGCTTGAGTGCTTCTTCATGACTCTGACAAAGAAGGATCGTGCTTTTCTCGTGAAGCTTTCCTATCAGACTGAGCGTTAACAGCTATCAGGAAGTTCCGGACTTAAAAGCATAATATCCGGCCTAATGACCACATATGGCCTGCGGAAAAAGATAGATAAATTTAATCCTGCTGATCAGGAAATAAGTGAATTGTTTGCACTACAATTTCTTGCCCGGATCGAAATGGATAATGAATGGCCTTGAAACATTCTGTAGTCTGCCGAAACTCATTTCCATCTGCAAGGTTCTGTAAATATGCAGAATTGAAGGATATGGGTGATTGAGAGACCGTTCCCGCTACAGCCATTACCTCTTCACTCTGAAAAGGTCACTGTGTGGTGCAGAATAACGACAGCGTTTGTCTTCGGTCCGTTCTTCTTCGAGAAGATTACACCTGCGAGTCCCGTTACCTGCGCAGTGACTGGCAAGCGGTATGAAGCACTTTTGCGTAACCATGTCCTTCCGGCACTTCAACAACGTCAATGTCTGAATCGCACTACATTCTTGCAAAATGGCGCCCCTCCGAACATTGCTACTTGTGTGAAGCTGCTGCTGATCGCTCATTTCGGAGATGATAGAATCACATAAGCCACCATTTTCCAACAGCATGACCGCCATGCTCTCCCACCTTAAGCCCGTGTGACTTTTGGCTTTGGGGATATCTGTAAAATGCTGATTACAGTGAGCGAATTGCGAATCTGGCCGACTTGAAGGCAAGCATTACGCACCACGTTCATAGCATCAGCACAGATACTGTCCGATCTATTGTGGAACATGCAGTTTTGCGCTTCCAATTAGCAGTGGAACAAGGAGGAGAGCGTATCGAACAACTTATGCACTAATCATCCGTAAGGTGTTTGTTTCGTGAAGCTTCTCTTGTCACTATCGCTGTTTTCTCTATAAATACATATCCTTGCCTTTTCGCTAATAAAATTGTTGCAAATCATTGAAGGCTACTGTTTCCTTTCAGCTATACATCTACAACAGCAATATGAACACGGACAGCACCATCTATCAACACATTTTGGACCTATTTTTTTCCTTCGCCAAACAAAATTCCATTACCTCAGGATTGTTCTGGTAAAATATCAAGTCATTCTGACCAGTAGTTTTAAAGTTAGAGGGTTTTGAAATCGCAACTTTAATTATAATCGCCCTACATTTTAAACCAAAACGTTTTGACTGACCCCCTTCTTCCTCTGAAATGATGCGTACTTTTTCACTTCAGCTTCTCTCTGTACACTGCTTAGACGTAATTTCGCTGTGCTCCCTTCCTATCGCAACAGTTATAAAAATGTAAATGTTCTTTACTAGGCACGAGTAGAGTGTCAAGTGATTGTGGCCTTAAATGTGGAGCTAAATAAAAAAGGAATTTAATCTGGCTCGACTTGTTTCTCTTCAGTATGGGTCAACGCTATAAGCATCAAGTATCTACGCCATCAGTATTTCCGCGTTTCTACGTCTCAGTGCTTCCAAAATTGTGCTATCATTACATATCATTACATAGATAGATAGAGAGAGAGTTTTATTTTGATGGTATTTCAAAACAAGTAGAAATTTGCTTGCCGAAAATTAGGCGGAGGAAATTTTGTTGTATTTTCAGCTTTTAATGGGCAATTTTTTTATCTATGTTGCCTGTAGGTTGGTTTTACTTTAGCCCAACAGATAAGAAAGGCATTTTTTCTCCCCAGTGACATACTTTGATTATTGTTTGACATAAGAATATGAGTTCCTACTTTTCAATTATTTGCATATCGCAACTGATGCAGATATTGGGGATTAATTTGTTTTATCCTGTAATATGCTAAAATAAGCAAATAAAAATTTTATTTACTCTTCTATGCACCATAATTAAATTAAATTTTTAATTGTTATATTCTTATTCAAATTAAATTGCAGTGAAACCTCTCACAGCGACCACCTTTCTGAAACGACTACTTCCAAATACGACCAGTGTTTCTAAGAACTTAATTATATAGCTATATGGAATATCAATGCTAGTCATGTTCGTTTAGTTGGTTTCTGTGTTAGTCTATCCGCTCTCTGCACAGAAGACCAAAGTCATTTGGAACGATGGATGGTCACTATGGCAGGTTTAACTAATTTATGAAGTATGGAATTTCTTTGCATATATGTATATGTTCATCATTCATAGGTTTACCAACTTTGGCATATGGATTAGGTGCAACGTTTTTAATTAAACATGAAGAAATTGTACATACTTGCAAAGGAGATGTTCCTGTATTCTTCTTACTTAAAGAAAACGACTCTCATTACTAATTTAAAAATTCTGTGAAATAGATCAATAAATTGATATAAAATTAATTGTTATAGCAGTGCACTTATTTGTTTTATTCATTCTTAAAAAAAAAAAAGACTTTCAGCTCTAAGTGTTATAAAAACATTTGCATTTGTATAATTCAGGTATTTTCTTTTAAATAAGTTCCAGAATAATTCGAAACACACTTTCTAGGACATAATTTCAATTTTAACATATACAGGCTTTAAACTAAAGGTAATCGACCTTTTTATATCTACTAGTCCGGTTTAGCACAGTTGTAAACTAATATTTTAAGGTTTAGTAAAAAGATATATAGTTATATCTATCCATTTATTTATATTTTGTGTATATTTATAATAAGTAGAAAATTTATTAAAAAAAATCACAAAACCGTTAAACAGAAAAGCGCTGTGCAGAGGGGGAATGATCAGGTAAACAACTAAACTTTCACGTGTGTGTGTTTTAATCTATACAACCATGTATATGTAAGTGTGTTTCAGTATTCCTTGATCTTCATCATTGAAAAAAAATCTTTCTCTCTTTCTCTGAATTCCAGATACCCACTATGAAAGCTCAAATCACCCATTAGAGATCAAGTTGACTATTGGCTTAAACAATAAACTACTAAAATATTTGACGAATATAGCACTGCAAATTATAGGCTAACATATGCACTTCCGGCTGGAAATCCTGAATTATTTAAAATTTTATCAACAGCAACAGAATGTCAAGTTTGGATTTTTAGTGGTATTAAAAGTATTTATTTCAAACATTGACATATATTCAAACATTGACAATTACAGGACGTCCATTCTGGATATATGGAAGTTCAAAAGAGGACAAATTATTGATGCTCATTATATGCTTGTTACTAAGATGGCAGATCTTTTTGATATATCGAAGACCACAACATCTATGTTTCTGGCTATATATCTATCTATAAAGTCGCAGAGCTTCATGCATTCGAAGTGCTGAAATAAAAAATATTTTCTGAAAAGTATAACAGATTGTTAAAACATTATAGCAGAAAAATGAAATATTATTCAGAGTATGGTAGAATTTAACATTCACTTCAACTCGCACATTTCTGCAAAAACTCTTTCCACAGAGCTTCTTAGTTTTAATATTCACTATCAGACAATTACAGCAAAGTTATTGAAGTGGTCTTAGAACGTAAAGTTTGGGCAATACACGAAGTAAAATGTGTATTGTTCCGTAAAGGTCCATTTACACTAGCGGAACTTTGAGCCTAAGAAACGAAGGCGAATTTGAAGACTCGTTTGAGAGCTTTTTAACAGCAATTTTTTAGTATTATGAGGGAATATTTAACTCTTAAACTCTTGAATAATGTTATAAGTTAGGCTGTTTATTTAAATGTGTACATATTCCGTTTCAGTTTAAAAAAAAAAAGTGTTAACATTTTCGCCATTTAGTGAAGCTAGCAATTTCCGCGTGCATTTCTTAGGCTCAAAGTTCCGCTAGTGTAAATGGGCCTTTACGAGTCCACGTTCACAGTATTTCCCATTTCTCGAAAAGTCCATGCTCTTTCAGTGGACCTTTGAAGAGCTTTTTCAGAGCTGCATAATCGAAACTGTAACATGAAAGTGAATTGGTGATGGTTTGGTTAATTGTATTGTGAAAGTATTTAGGAATGCTGATTGTTCTTGATGCCGCATCACTTTCTGATATAATCTATGAATTCTAAAGAGCCAAGTCCACTCAATTATAAGCTTATATTGATTGTTTGATTATCACGGTTTCGATTATGGCGATTCTCGATTTCAGACAGTTTTTAATTAGGTACCAAAATTTATTGCACTCCAAATGTAGTTTAATTTCATATACATCCAGAATTACATTTATTTCAAGTCTTCAGTCTTCAAGTAACACTCTTATAGCTTTGTTTTATCCTACGGCATTTGCTTATCGCTAACCAGTAATCATCTAAACTTGAAAGTTATTTGGCATCAATCGTGAAAGTAGCATTCTCTGCAAGTTCACGGGAGTTTGAACGATTTGAAAGGTTGAGAGTTCGGAGCATTCACATACAAAGTGAAATTACAAGTGCCGATAAAACGTAACAGCTAGTTTTCCTAAGAAATTGCAAAAAATCATTGAAGAAGGATATTGTACCCGTACATTAAATATCTCTTTGCCGTGATGACCAGATATTTAACGCAAGGCAAAACTGAATTTTTATGGGGAAAAGATGCGTGACGAAATATTTTTAGACAAAATCAAAACCAGAGCCTGACTGAAAGGTTTCGAAGGATCATATAACACTTTTGCTAGGTAAAATGCTTCTGGAGATTAGAAGAAGTTTATATTTATATTTAGAGTTCATGAAACCCTTGCCTGTGCTGAGAAATTTGAATAAAAATTTTCTTTATGTTCTTTCGAGATCCAATAGAAAAGCTTGGCTGACAAAAACTATAGAGATTAATTTAAAAACTATATTTATCTTGAAGCTTAAAAGTATTTCAAGGGATCAGATTTCCATTTTAAAATCTCATACAACGCATCTAGTTATCTAAGAATGATTTCTTCGGAAAATGTAATAGATTTTTTTTTTTTTTTTATTTATCACATAATACCATTTCTTTATTTATTTGCCACGTAATACACCACTTCTATCATTCACCCAGTAAGTCTAGGATTAATCGCATCCTTTAATTCATGTTACCTATCAAGAACGTTTTCACAAATAAAAATAAGATTACAAAAGATGACACTTCGACAGAATTTAGGAAGATATTCAATTTCAGAAATTGCATTGAGAAATCAACGAAAATTATAGTGAAGTTGTAGGGTTCTGCTTGTATAGAAACTTTAATCAATGTTTTTCAGATCGTACTAGACTGACAAGGGAGTCATCGCTCTAGTTTGAAGCGAAAAGATTAAATTAACCTTTCTATTAACTCTCGAAATTTAATAGGCATTACTGTGCTACAAAACGAAACTCCGCCACTTGCAGGTATATAAAATAACATAAATTGAAATGAAAATTTTAAGTAACGTAGCTTGAGACTGCACACAAAATAGTCTACTTAAGTTGGCTGAAGTAATTAATGGTGTGTATTTAACGTCGTCAGCTTATTTTTTTCTCTTAACCTCTTTTGCACTCCGCTTTCCAGCTTATTCCAGCTGAAATAGCGTGTAAAATTGCAGCATTTCATCAAGTATCTGCTAACCTTTTTCCCCACTCTCTTCTCTGACATTCCAGATCTCAACGTAACTCTATTTCAAAATCTATACCTAATGCTCTAGACTTAAATTTCATTATTTTTAAAAGTGTTGACTGGAGAGCCTAACTCTAGGTAAACTCATTTACAATATGCTATCTTTTACTTTCAATATACAAAACAGACTATCAACAATACATTTTGTTTTTACAATGCATTATGTTATAAACTATCTTATTCATGCATTCAAAAATATTAAACTTCATTCATTATACTACGCATCAAATGATTATCTATACATAAAAATTGCGCAAATACATCTTGCATCCCTTGCTATTATTTGACTTGAATTCACGTCAAAATTTTCTGTTAGTTCCAGTCTTTTCAACTAAAGTAACATAAAATTCTTAGAAGTAGATGAATACGTTAACAGATTAAGCTTCTTAGCTGCACTTAGATATCCTCGCTTATAACCAGAGTCGTAGCTAGGGTTTTCAGCGCCCAGGGACAACTGAAGATTTCGCGCCCCCTACTGCTTGCCAAGGATGGAAAACATTTTAATTATAAAATGTCGTAACATCAATTTGGCGCCCCTTGGATTCTGCGCCCGGGGACAGATGGCCCCCTCTAGCTACGTCCCTGAGTATAACAAATGTACAGTGGGTAAAAAAGTATTGGCAATTGCCTATAATTGAAAATATTACGTAAAAGGAAATGCTTGACAATTTTAGCTGCACATACCGAACACAAGAGGTAATAAACACACAAATCCTAATGAAACTTTAAATTTAATATGCCTTTTACACAAAGTATACAACAAAAACGTAAATTTGCATGTCAAATAGTATTGGCGAATTTCTAAGTGCTATGCAAATTTTGTTATGTTGAGGTCACGTGTTTAGACTGATAAGAAACCCTGTTAGTATAAAGTCTGCACTTCTACTTCAAAAGTTTTAAAACGTTATTTTGTTAATACTATGATAAAATAGCTTCGAAGGAGTTGGATTATAATGTTAAAAGCATGATTATTCATCTCAGAAATGAGGGTTTAACTTATTGCGCTATAGGAATACAAGGAACGGGGGACGTGGGCACCATCCCTTTACCATAGTGGTTAATTGGTATAGCGCCACGTCCACCATTCTCTAGAGTTTGGCCAGCAGAGGCCTCGCACGAGACGTCCAGACCCAGGGAGGGCCTAGTCCGTCTCGCTGGCAGTCGAGCTGACCAAAATGCCTCCAGGAAACACTCTCGCTATAGGAATACAGCTGTACATAAGTTTATTTACTGTTAGAAGTGTTGTAAAAACGTTCAAAGACACAGAATCGACGTAAAATAAGATTAGAAGTGGGTGGACTCGAATATTTTCTGCAAGGGAAAACGTGGCATTTTTAAAGAGATTAAGAAAAACCCTAACCCCAGTTAGCCAAAGATGTTGCTAATATTTCGCATAAAACTTTTAATGTGCAAGACTATACGGAATGTCTGGCATGGAGGAAGTTATTGTGGAAGAGCAGCTAGAAAAAAAACCTTTCATTTCGGAAATAAACCGGAGAAAATAATTAGATTTTACAAAATCTCATTTTAATTTATCTGAAGAATTTTGGAACACTGTTATTTTGTCCAGTGAATCGAAGTTTAACATTTTCGAGAGTGATGGACGATACATGTGCGGAGAAAACCTAACATCGAACTGGAAAAACAACATTTAACACCGACTGGTGGTGTGGTGTGGTGTATTTAATTATGGCAAAGCACACGAGGGCTATCTGCCTTAACACCGACTGGAAAACATGCTGAAGGGAGCGTCGTAGTTTGGTGCTGTTTGGCAGCAAACAGAATTGGTAACCACTGATGGTATT